GCCTCTGACCTTCGTCGGGCAAATGGATGCCACCAACGCCACATTCGACAACAAGTACTTCAAGGCCGTGCAGAGCCGCAGGGGCCTGTTCCCATCGGACGCTGCCCTCATCACCAACTCCTTCGGCCGCAGGGTCGTGAGCATTGCAGCCAAGAACCCCGGCAGCTTCTCGGCGGACTTCGGCAAATCCATGGTGAAAATGGGCAACATCCGTGTTCTGACTGGAGCTGCGGGGGAGGTCAGGCGAGTGTGCTCTGCTGTCAACAGCAACTAAACATACTGACTCAGCAGACACGAAGGATATTGCTTGAACCAAAATGAACCTCGGCATCGATGATGGAGGCAGATTTTATTCAGGAACTGTCGTGTAACTCTTCGTTGCATTTGAAGTGCGACAGATCGATAAGAGCAGAAGCTTGCCGGGTACGAACGGTACCTCGGCACCCAACCGATGTCCGGCTGGACTGGTAGGCAGCTCCGTGGGACCGCGGATTGCGACCGCTATAATGCATGAACTGGATTCCTTAGAGGAACGATAGATTAAATGAGCCTTAAGCACTAGTAAGAAAATTTTCCACGTCGATAATATAATACTTAGAACTTAGTCAGGTGACAATTGTACCGGCATGTAATTGGTTAAAACTTTTCATACCTTGCCATTCATTTTCATGCGGCGAGATCCAAATAAATTTTTTGAAGATCTTTTAAGAAAGCATCGCTCTCGTAGTAGTTTGAAGTGATATTTGTCTGTACAAGACCAGATTGCCACGATCCGGACACTCCTCGTACGGATTGTACAAATTGTTTCCTATTATCAACGTCAAGGAATGTAGATAGTGGAAACTGCGTCGTCGAGATGTGATTTCAGTCTGGGAGCACCTGAGATTTACAAATGACTGAATAGAATCCCCAACACGCGAGGAAGCTCATCGAGTCCACGGAAGTGGTGGTTTAAGTGGTGTCTCATTCTCTTGGGCAATATGCCCTTCGAAGTAACGTTGGCTGCCTTGATCCTCAAAATACGCAACCTGCTTGCAGAATGTCTCGAGCTCTAGTAGTGAAGATGAGTTCGATCAGCCTGACGTAGAGCTACACCGCAGGTTGTCTCTGATGGCCTAACGCAGCATGGATCACGACGGTTTTGTTTATCTGCAGAAGTCTTCTAACATTGGTTGTATTATTTTTAAATATCGTGATTGGTGTACCGAAAAATCAAGTTAGATGTCACATGTCGACTCGAATGTTCAAATACTAAATGTACCCCTTAATTTACACATCGCTAACCATTACACTGTTGTGATGACCACCTTAAACCTTTGAGCCCTCTTCTATCCTCTGATTGACAATGTTTTGATGTCATAAATCATTGTGATTGTTGATTAGAGGTGATTGATATATGGCGGTTTTCTTTTGAGATTTTTTACACGAATTTGTGTATAACTAAATTTTATTCAACTTTCAGTTTGAAATGAATGATTATTTCATATAATTGACATTTCTAAACTACTTTTTAATCTATTAAATTTTGATATTAGTGTAAAACATGAAAAATAATGATCTTAAGTAAAATCGTAAATTCATAGACTTCAAGTGAAGATAGTGCAAATAGATACAAAAACAATATACCAATATTACCAATATTTAGATCTGGAAAAACACACCATAATTGAAAGATAATTATTTGAATATTGATTCATTTAGTATTAAAGAGTTAAATGTTTCACAGCCTCTTTATTTTTCATCTGATTTAATTTTTTTGGATTTTGGAATTTTAAAGTTTATCTTGTAATCATTTCAAAAACTTTTCCTTAAGTCATCGTGGTTTGACGAAAACTTGTGGTATAATTAGTCACCTATACATGCATGCTATTTGAGCCTACTTGATGTCTTGCACGCGCGGCTCTGCCACGTGTCAACTCAAGATTTAAGCAAATTACTGATATACAAATCTCCGCAGTTTACACTCTCCAACGTAAAGTAACGCAAGTCAATATTGATGATACATCATTATCATAATATAATTGTCTACGTGGCCGATTCAATTGTGATGCCAACGCCTATGTGACATTTCACATGTACGGCTCTGCCACATGTCTACTTGAGATTTGACCAAACCAGTCATACACAAATCTCTGCAACAGGCTCTCCAAGTCATGCAACTTGATATGGATGATACATCATCATGATATAACTGACTTTGTGGTCTACTCGAGCATGCTACACGTGCATATGTGATGTCTTGCACGTGCGATTCTATCACGTATCAACTCAAAATTCTACTAAACTACTAATACACAAATCTCTGCAGATCAGACTTTTCAGTCTAAAGTTAGACAAGTTAATATCAATGAGACATCGTCATCATGATATAAATGCTTATGAGGCGTGTCTAAACATGCTACTTGCATCTACATGACGTCTCGCACATGAGATTCTATCAAATGTCAATTGGAGATTCAAACAAATACATACATATCAGATACACAAATCTCTGCAACTTAGGCTCTATAATGTAAAGTCAGGCAAATTGATATCAATGATACATCATGATCATGATATAATTTCTTGCGTGGAATGTCAGAGCGTGCTATCTACGCCTACATGACATCTTGCAGGTGCAACCCTACCACATGTGAATTCAAGATTTGACCAAACTACCGATATACAAATTTCTAAAGCTTATGCTAAAGTTATGCAAGTTTATATTGATGATACATCATCATCATGATATAATTGCTTGACTGGTTTACGTGACGTCTCAGACGTGCGATTCTGCCAAATTTCAACTCGAGATTTGATCAAACTATTTACACATCTCTAAAGTTTAGACTCTGCAATGTAAACTCTAGCAAGATGATATATCATCATCATAATATAACTGCCGGTGTAACCTGTCCGAGCATGCTACCCGCACTTACGTTTGGCACGTGCAGCTCTATCACGTATCAACTCCAGATTCAATCAAATTAATGATATACAAATTTCTGCCGTTAAGGCTCTCAAACATAAAGTAAAGCAAGTTAACATTACTAATACATCATCATTATATAATCCACTGCGTGGCGTGCACTAGCAAGCTACAAGCGCCTAAATGACATTTCGCACTTGCGACTATGCCACGTGTCAACTTGATATTTGATTTCATTGCATCACACATCCAATGCATGACACATATCAATCACGTTTCTTTGCCTTGAGAGTTATTGTGTCAAAGTTCCTGTTAGTGTTGAATCCAACGACCCCTATTCATCAACTCTAAAACATCAAATTGAACAAACAAATTTACTAATACATAAATATCTACAGCTGAGTCTCTCCAATGTAAAATCAAGTGTTATGTGTCTTTGTATTTACTATTTTAAACCATTAGCTTAGGGTTAAGAGTCAAAGGGTATATAATCGAGGGTCATTCGAAGAACCGATCATTCTTTGAGTCATCCTAGTTGTGATACGTTTGAATATGTACGCTCTCGTGTCTTACGTGTGTTTGAGTAGCATGTTACAGATGTAGAGTGTATGACAATATATATTCGCAGGACACAGTCAAGTTAATTTGGATGATACATCATAATCATAATATAACTATCTGTGTGACTATTTGCAATTGCGCCTCTGCCACGCGTCAACTCGAGATTTGCTTTTAATGTGTGCCACATGTCAACCACGTGTCGCTGCCTAAAGTGTTATTGTGTTAAATTTTTTGATAACGTTGAATTTGATGAAGCATATTCATTTAATCTTCAGTTTTCAAAACATCAAATTCATTGAACAAAACTACTCATATACAAATCACTATAGCTTAATCTTTCCAAAGGAAAATGAGACAAGTTCATATGGATGATACATTATTATCATATAATTGCATGCATGGCTTTACCAAGCCTCACATTCGCAATCTGCTATACATAATTTTTTAATGTACATCATGTATAGTGATCATAAGTTAAAGATATATCTGCAAAACGTGTTCAATTAAGGTGGTTGAAAATTAAAAATTTTGAAGATGAACTTAATTTTCATCTTAAAAAACAACAATTTTATGAATTATTTATTTATTTACCAAGTCAAGATTATTGAGTATCTTTGACGGATATTGAACCAGGGCCAGTTTTCACGCATAGAGGTTCTGAGAAAAGTTGATGTTATTTTACCTCTAGCATTAAACTTGCATAAGAAATGGACTTTCACTTCAGCAAGGCTACGGAAGGATGCGTGGTACAGTATCATAGTAGGCAGAGATTGTATCACGTGTTTTACTTTTTTGTGCAGACTGTTTTATGTAAGCAATTTTTTTCAATCTTTCAAATTGATACGGCCTAGGGTCATGCATAATATACTAATTTCATCAAAATGTGGTACTTTGGATGCTCTTCTGTTTATAATTCCTTTTGTTAGTATGTGTCATGATACGAAAGACATTAGAATCAGGTAAAGACAAAATATCATAAATGAACATATGAAATTAAAATAATGAGTGCAGTTTTGGCGTACGTAAGCGACGCAAGAGACGCAAGACATACTCTTTATTTTGATATTATTGTGTCCTTGCATGCGTCTAACTCTGTACAGGGTCTCCCATCCCTTTCCCTATTTACCTGGAAGCGTTGGAAGCTCCCTTTGCGTCACGTCAACCCCATGGCCGCAAGTGTTTTATCAGTCGCATAGGAGACTGCTACGAGACTCCTGGGGTCCTTCAGAGCTTCTAGCTCCTTGCGAAGACATTTTCCAGCAACTTTGCTCTCCCTCTCGTCTCATTCATCGCCTATCTTTAAAGGTAGCATCGCAGATTTCCTCTGAAGGTGTTTGGAATTTCCAGCATGGAGTTATGATGTGCGAGGTTGGAAGAACACACAATTGGTATGTCCGTGATCTTCAGATCGATGGTGAACCAGCGCACTGATTTTCTACGACCTACATTCCGCAAGGCAGTTCCATTGAGATTTCCTCCTTTGCTGATTTCAAAGGAGCAGTACAACCCCGGAGGGAACTCGGTTGAACCGAAGAGTAGTCTCTGCACACGGATGCAGGAATGGAGGCATAGCTCTGACGCAGATACTAGGAAGTATTTTCATCAATGTCTTGCATCGGGGTGCCTCTTGACAGTCTGACTTTGGAAGTTACAACGGATTCGAACATCCATCCGTCAAGGGATGGGGCTGTGAACTCATACGGAACCCTGCGAGTTGAAGGTGAGGAGCTGGAGCTTGAGGATGACGATGATCACTTCGAGAAGAAATTTTGGCAACGCCCGTCGCGTTTGAGAACTCACGCTGGACTGTAATGCATTTGGCTCATATGACGTCTCTGAAAAGGTCAGTCGATTTTGCAGGATAATTCTACTTGCAGAGAAACTCCAGCCTCTAGCTTTTCTTAACTGCTCCAATTGAGGGTTGCACCTTGTGCTGGACTAACCATTGCAGGATCCATTTCCTCGTCCCTGAGGCTCTCGCATTCCAAAGATAGTGATCGCTAGATCGCAAGTGAGGGTAACGTCTTGGACACCTTGGTTGCATACTTTCGGTGACATGTCTGTCGTTCGCTAGAACTTGGGAGACTTGGAGTTCTTCTCTTAGCTCTCAATTTGTAGTCTGTTTTTTTCCGCCCCGAATCTGTCAGAGGAGATTCATGCAACTTTGAGTCCACGAGGATCGATACCTTATTCCGACAGTCTTCCTTTTTAGTTACGTGTTGCTAAAGTCTATCCGTCCAGACTGCAGATGACATATGACATACTTCTAGTTCGAACAGAGAACATTTATTACTTTTCACCGCGCAACAAACAGGACTAGACTCAGAAAACGAGGATATGAGGGCGCGCATCGACAACTCCAAGCTGATGCTTTCAATTTGCAGATGAGGAAAGAACGTTGTTAAAGCTTGGAATTTCATCAACAGTTTTGCAAGTGGATAGTTCTCAATCTTCTATAACTGGATAATCTTGTATCTAATTGTAGATGACATAAGTTGGTAAAAGAAGAATTAGAATAATCAATTTTTAAAGACAACTGGCAGTCGGAAAATCTGTCTGGCACTTCAAGGCTTTAAAGAGCCAAGACATTTCAGACGAAGTGTCGAGACATCTTTGTAGGATGAGGCTGCCAAACGGATATTCTGAATTCCTTTTGAAACATGAAATACAGGTACTGCAGCATATAACAGACGTTAGTTTCAGTTGAAAGGTTTGTAGTGTCTTGTATCTTGAAGGATCTCTGCAACAGATCCAATTGCAGCACCGATAGAAACTAGGAGGCAGATAACCATTAATGTACATAGAAACCACCACTCACATTTGTAATGTCGCAAGTTGGTTCGTTTCATATAGATCCGGATGGGGAAATAGACACTTAGCGGGAAGAAGGCTAAAGCTCCTAGCAAGCCCATAATGCTGTTGAAAAAAGGCAATAATAGAGCGAGAAGCGTCGTGACCAGAACGAAGATGGTTCTCCAGACCAGGTGGAAAATGTTCAGTCGGATTCTACCAACAACACGTATGGACACACTTCGAGTATTGTTGAGAAAGGTCTTCTTTGGCCATCTTTTCAATACCAAACCTTCTAAGAAAGAGAAAAGCGGTTGAGCAAAAATCTGCAACAAAACGAACACGTTAGTTGCTGCTAGAAATAATTCAACGGATTTGCAAGACTGACAGAATCTCGTAGAGAGGTGCATCAGCCAGTAAAATACCTGGTAAGCTCCCACAAGATGAACGACGATGCATGCATTGGCGAAGTCGATGAGCCAATATGGCTCGTAAAACCCGAAGCCTGTGAGGAGGTTCCCCGGAGCATGGTTACCGAAGGCAGCGTAGCCCACACAACCAACGGACAAGTAGAAAATACTGCAAGTAAGGTTTGATGCCAGCGCAACCTTTTTCATGGTCTTGTTCTCTGGCGGAGGGCTTTTCAGCGTGTCCTGGATAATCAAGAACAACGTCTGATTACATCCATATGCACATGGATAAATTGGGAAAGTTTTTCGACGCATGTTCCTAATCTGGATTCAAGATTCAATAAGAACAAAAACTTCGTTTGAAGAAAATTATAAATGGAATGTGCACAAAGATTTAGACCTCTTACTTTACCTGTATGTTAAGAAGTACTATAATGAAACTGTATGCAAAGGCAATATCGCCTACTGCCGACAATGTCTTCCATACTTTCTGAGCTCTACTGTATTCATCCTGTCCATTACCAATAGGCCAACCATAAAGTGTCCCCCTAACTTGTCCTTCATCTGCAATATTGTCGCAAAACTCAAATCCGTTCAGAGGTTTTTGTCTTCGGACTAGAAAGAAGCCGATTATCTACCTCCACATAATCGACTGCATTGCTTACACACCAAAGTCTACATATCTAACTCATCCTAAACGACCGGGAAAACTGCATTCATGTTTCTTTCTTAAGAAGCACCAAAGTTCGAGAGGAACAAAGTAGATGAAAATCTTTGAAAGGAAAAGAAAACACGTAGGCAACCATCAAAGCGTGATAATAACAATTGAAATGTTTCTTCGTCCAACATCTATAGTAGAAGGAATTAGCTTCCTCAGAATTCTAACATTGTTTACAGAGTCTGCGATTTGCAAATAACGAAGAAACATCATAACTATACATTATTCGAACTGCGTAATCATGGGTTAATCCTAGTCATATTATCACACATTTCCCTCCTTACCGAAGAATTTAATGAGACTCAATACAAGACCGATGCCTGAGTAGGAGAATGACATGATTGCGGCAAGTACTGAGAGCCACCAAGTCTGAGCAAAATCTGGAATTTGCGAGAAGAAGATTTGAGCTGCGCCAAAAATACCCATGTACAAATTGTTTGATACGTGACATTCTGCATGACGTCCTCTTTCATGAAAACAGCCGGCCCGTTTGATTGCCCTGCATCGATACTACATTCTTATTAGTAGAAGCATTGTATTGTATCCTCTTGAGCATATCTCATGATCTATTAGCTCAAGCAAATTCAGTTCATCGGTACAAGCAGATGCAACACTTAGGGTCATTATATGACATCTACTTACACCATACTGGCTGAGGCGGTAACGGTGTAACCAATGCAAATACCGAAAAGATTGGTATACTGCACAAGTCCGCAAACAAACGTGTCCTTCCGCCCTGTAATCATCAACTCACTGTAAATAGACTGTCTTTTTATGATTTTTTCTTGTCTTTTCCATGATAGTTTCGAAGGCCAAAACAACCTTGTTCCTCTTCTCTTCTCCAAGATTCCCGGCATTCAAAACCACAATAATTGTTCATTATAGAAGATGTGCAGAACAAGCCGGGCACACTTAGGCTAAACTGCCTGAAATCGGAAATCGGCGACAGCATGCCAGAGTTACAGGGTGTATCTGATGGTGGCCACTGTTTAATGTTCATCTGTTGCGTTCAAAGACCGCAGAGGAGGCTCACCCAGATAACTCTTCACTGTATCCATATATGTGTACAGCCGCCTCCCAGAGACAGGATTCATGTAGCGGTAGGAATCAACGAGCAGAACCGAAGTGAAGTATGTAATGACGGCAAAGGAAACATTCACCAAGGGCCCAGCTATCCAGCCAAGCTGAGCGACTCCCCATGCCAAAGATAATACTCCAGATCCTATACATGCGGTTATTGCATGGGCAGATGCCGTCCAAAACGTTCCTGCTCCAGAGTAGATAATCAGAATAAAGGCACTGCAATTGTCAAAACTTATGGTTTGCAGTCACTGGTTTCAAAACTCACTCACGAATGTCATTCAGAGGACTTTCTTGAGGCCTACCTGTGCGTTTAGGACGCCCATCATCGTCCAGTTCAGCGCTTGACATTGGTACGAGATTTGTTCCTTCTACATTCCTGTCAACACTCTGATCGATTCGATCAACAATCCTACTCATTCGCAGTTCCTGTGTTGTCTTCGAAGACTCTGAGTCTTCCATACTCAGTTATTCACTTCCGTTGGTCGCAAGGATGAACAGAAATAGACTCTAGGATTCATGAGTTCCACACTTTCCGAAACACGTCTCTAACTCTCATACACAACCACTGTTAGGATTCAGCACACTGCATTGTGCAGTCTTTGTGTCATCTCTGGAGCTGCATCACGTTTGGTCTCCAGAACGATGTATGTCATTTACATGAGATTGCCTTCATCTCACCATGTCCACAGGCTTTTGCGCTGGACACGTAAACATCTGGAGAATGCAGGATCTGTTGATCCTATATATCATAGTTATAGCCAAAAATGTTCGATATATAAAAATGCTCCTTGATTTCGGGACAAAAAAAGGTGATTGGTCACAGGCTACCGGAAGCACTTGCCTTGCTGGATCTCCTCAAAACGAGGAATCAACATGATAAAATAGTCTAGTCTGTTTACACCACACCACGTGAGGATGTCATTCAGTTCTCATCTTCCTCTTGTGCAACCGACTTCATGTCCTTTGTGGCCACAGGAGCCTTTCGTATACCTGTCCAGGTTTTTTTAACATCTACAGACATGGATCACCACGTTGAATGGACGCCCAATGCACTTCTCAGACGACGAACAAACGGAAACAGGGCAACGAACAAAATTCATATGCAAGTACTGGATCAACAAAAAGAAAGCACCGCCGAGTTCATTCAAAAGGTCGGAAACACATGACATGCTCAGACCATATCCGGATCCCTTTGTTGGAAGTGGCAAGGTAAAAAATTACCTCAAAGACCAGATTTTCAAAACCGAGGAGCGTCTCATCCACACATCTGACTCCTGAATTTAAGCTGTGACAGTAATTGGGTGTAGTACACAACTGTAACGCCCAAGATTAATGGCTAGAGTGACAAGTACAATCTGAGGAGTACCGTGCACAGTATTTGGGCAGATGCAGGCAAGACCGGCGAAGAGAAGTCAGTATATCTTACTAAGTCCTTGAGGTGTGTGTCACAACTTTCACTCGTTCACTTCGTAAACGCAGACACCTTTCGCTCGTAGTATTGATTACTTCTTCGAAACTGGTCCCGGCCAGTTAAAAGGTCGGGACCAGTTTCGAAGATGCCTGGTTCCTGAGATCTTCGTTCTGCTTTCGCGAGTACAGCTCGCAAAGGTTGGAATAAAAGCTTCCGCTACTCACACCAACTACCACATGATGAAGACCACACAGTACATTCTCATAGGTACGAAAGATTGTAACAAGTTGGCCACCGTCATCGTAGCATGGTCACAGGATCACAGGGTTCATCTTCTTCGTGAGTACGGGAGGAGACGATTCCTGTTGTTGTCACGGACCCAGAGTAAATTGGCCACATCCGGCCTCAGAGTTACACTGCTGTTCCTCGAGGGAGCCAGAGAAGCAACGGCATAAGTTTTGCGGCAGGTGTCAATCACGGACGCTCAAAATTTCTTCTCAGAAGAATCCGCGCACTGACGCACAGCCACCGTTCATCGAATGAAATCACTCATGCATATTGCGTGTAGGACGAACGTGCTAGGCTATAGCGTACGACGAATCAAACCATTCATGCACATTGCGTTTCGAATGAATGTTCGAGGCTAGCTGCGTTCGTCGGATCCCGTCTAAAATCCTCAAAATTACTTCATTAACTTTTGTAATCCCAAGACTAAACAACTAAATGACATAAGATTTCGCATCTCGACGCAAGTCTAATCTTCTGAACTGTCATATAGCGGCTTCTTTCTGCGTTATCAAGAAGGCCTGGAGAGAAGAACGTTACACGAGATACACATCAGACGACTAGTGCATGAGCTTTGATTTGAATTACTTTCCACGTGTAGCTGGTATCGGCGACTCCCTCTCGAGGGCTGCAACTACCTCAAGTCAAATCTTGTGACACATGGTATCGACCACGGTCGTAGCTGGGTGCGTGCACCAGAAAATACCGTAGAGGGGGATGGTCTGACAACATCGGCAACACCATCTTCATACGGGGTAGACGAACAGAAGAACGGTCGGTAACATTCGTAAGGCCACGTGTCAATTACAAGAAAATCCCAACAAGATTCAAAACACTATCAAAAGTCTGGTCAGAAGACGCACCACGAGTTTGCAGAAATGAAAAGCAGGATATTAGAAGGTTGCGATATATAAAAATATATACAAAAAATATCATTTGGAAGGAGCAGTGTTTATGCACGTTCGGCCCAATTCGAACAGCGAGAACAGACTGAGTGAAGATATTAATGACAATGGCAGGCAACATCAACAGACAGAAGTTCCAAGGTACTGTAGGCCGACGTCTTCTCATTCTTTACATATATTGTACAAATTGACCTTGGATGTCCAAGTGGATGAACACACATATCAGCTATAAGTTCGACTAGTTCATACTATATCTGAATGATATTTAACGCAAATAGGGTCGCACAATGCATCCTGTAATATTGGATATGATTCGGAAGACCATGAGGATGAAGAAAATGGTTCTAATTTTTGAGAGGATCTCAGTGGACCTGCAAGAACAGAGCATTACCCAAATTTCGTCAGATACCCATCTGATGTTTCACTTGGAACTTCAAGATGGTCATACCAATAGCAAGAAAGGATTCGGATCTTACAATCAGAGTGGAGGCTGGAAAATTGTTTGGAACCACAAAATACTTCGAGGCTTTTCTAACCGGACAATTGTGGAAGTGGTCCTGTGCAGGAGAGTATGGCACGATAATATGCCAAGACCTGAATCACAACAACGTCGTAAGAGTCTGTATATATGAGAAAAATTGGAATAAATCTCATACATTACAGTGCTAAGCGTGGAAGCCATCAAGACCTTTGTTACTTTAGCACATTCAGAATTCGAACAAACTTGGCATTCGTAGGGGCAATGAAAAAAGTTGCAGAAGGAGTTCGGAACTTCTCACTGACGAGCACTCAGAACTAGTAAGAGTACTCTGCTACACGAAGAAACTCATGAAGTGAGATAGAGTGAAAGGTTCTTCGACTTTATCTCCGTCCGACCCGGTCTGGACGCTGTTCCACAGGTTTTAACTGATTATTGTGTAACCGGAGGGCGGAAGACTGCGCATTGCTCATCATCTAGGATGAAATGTGGAAGGTTCACAGTAACAACACGGCCTTGCTATATTGATATAATCAAGTAGTACCTTGCTCATGATGTTGAGTTAAGGAAGTTTTAACATCTGAAGAATTTTAAGAACGTAGACGAATCACCTGTTGCTGAATTCCCGCGACTTCCTCCCTGAAGCTCCGAATAACGTCCTCCTTGGTATTTATAATTTTCGCGATCTGATTGATCAGATATTGTACCTAAAACATTTCCGACATAGTCAGCACTTCATATAGGGCATAATTCACGCACCGATTACAATCTACGGACATACTCCATTGTCAATCCACTAGAATCTTAACAGGTATATATCGTGCCGGTGTATACCACCTTATGAACTGTGTTCATGAGAGCTGAAACTGGTGCCGAGGAGATATCAAGTAGAACACGCTCGGCATACAAAATGCCTTCCCATAAAGCTACAGGGGATCTCAATACCGACCAGAGGTAAAACAAACTACGAGTGGCTTTGGAGTAAGAAGTAGCCCGAAACGGCTATTTATAGATGCAAGGAGGGGTCGCCATCTCTACCTGAGCTTCTTTACTGGGAAGATCAGCTTCTTGTTGACGCTTGATCAATTGTGAGTACCTCTCCTTAATCTCTTCTAGCGACCTTTCTTGTTCCTCAGTCTTCGAAAGATTGAGGCGCTCGGCATTGTCAATAAGCTCCTGGCAGTGATCGCCTGCAGAGATATGGAAAGCACAAAAGATAAGACTGTGTTTTGACGATGTGTGTTTACTTATGATGTGTCTTTTAGTGATGATCAAGGAAGAACAGTCTATAAATCAGGACCTTTCAATGTGAGTTCAGCAAGCTTGGTGTTTTGGTGACGCTCTTCCTCTTCATCTGCTTTGATTTTGGCCTTGAGGCCCTTCACCTGCTTCGTTGCCGTCTTCTGCGTGGTCAGCTGAGGAAACAAGATATCAAACTCTCAGTATCCAGTTGCACAGTAGCTACAAAGGAGATGGTAGAAGGCTTGCTACATGATGTGGTGATTAAAGAGATAAACCAAAGGTAGAAGTTTCTTCTCCGAATATGCAGCGCGGTTATAGATTATAACAGTAAGACCCCAAACCCTTCTCCGAGATTGATACATACGGGAAGGAAAGGCCCGGATGCTAGACCTTCTACTTTCCGATCTTAATTATCTCCAGAATTACCTTGATAGGATTGTGCCATCAGGAAGGATAGTACCTTACGTATAGTCTTTAATATACACGTTTTCCTGGTGAAAATTTACGAGAAATAAGTTCTTTAGACTAATTTTCAAATGCCGTATGTAGATCCAAAGTCGGCGTGTGTTCATGTAACGTGGGGAGTACGGAATGTTGTGACTGAAGGCCTGGAGCCAATTCGAGGTCAAGTTTGAGCTCAAGCCAAAAGATGAGAACTCTCTTACCACCGAAGTAGATTTCTGTACCAACTTATGTTATGGTTCATGCAATAAGAACTGGACAAAATCATCTTACCAACTTTTGAGCTTCCTCCAGTCGGCCTAGGTACTTCAGCACCTTCTTTTCAGCCTAAAAAATTCAATGAAGAAAAAGTAAGTTAAAATACAATTTAACAAAAGAGATAGTGACTGAAGTGACTGAATATGCTGCCGAAGGACACGTTAAAATGGATATACTGGTGTATGAATCAGGTAAGTTCTGTACCAACCTTAGAAAATGACTCGAGCTTTTGTTCCCAACGGTTGAGACTTTTGCGAGCTTCCTCCACAGCTATTTCAGTTTTTTCGAGAATGATCTTCTGCTCTTCTATTGACCTCTGGAAGTCAAGGAGAATGAAACAGAGAGGTTCTCACTTACATGCACAAGATACTATCAGCTGTCCAGGAAACCTCTTTATTTTTTTATCAGACTTTTGACCTTGAAACCTGCATCATCTTCTAGGAGCATAATCAAGAACTTGCGAAACCCAAAGACGAGATGTGGTATCAAACTATCAGTCTCCAGATGCATAAATAAGGAGCTATACTGGAGCACAAACCTGAAGCTTTTCAGGCGACTGCACAATCTGGCCCCTTAGATCTGTTTCTTCTTGTTTCGCTTGTTGGAGCATGTACTTTTGACCAGATATCTGTGTTCAACAAAAAATCAAATAAATATTCACTTTTAGATACACCTTCCTATTCACTTGAAGTACTGTAGATTACGAAACTACCTGCAAACAACAATCAGTAACTGGGAATACAATATCTGCACATAATGACAAACTTACAGCATCATTGATGCTGTTGAGCTCTTGTTTCAGCGCACGGATCTCGCTCTGGAACACAGATTGTCTTTTGTTGAGAGCTGACACGTCTTGCCACAACTCATGGGTCTCGGCTTCAAGAGCTTGCACAAGTGGTATTTGACCTTTTCTTTCGGCTTCAATGGCAGCGATCTCACGCTTAACCTGTCAAGGCAGTACCATCTCAGAGCTGTTAAACCTCAAAGTATATCGAGCATGCAATCTTGGGACAAAACAACTATCTGAAAACAAAAATAATAGGAAGACGGACCCAAAACCCTTCTACAGGGCTTCTCTCATAAGTTACTTCTCCAAAGACGTGATAATGAAACACTTTGTCGATGAACATATCCCAGCTCTGGAGAAGAAGAAACTTTCTGTTGGTTTAAGACTTCAGATTAAGGTAGACGTTTCTCGGACTTCGACTGGAGATTTGCAATCTGGAACTATAACAATATACAAGATCTCGCGGACAAGAGGCAGAGTACAATAGAGATGTTTCATTACCTTCTATGTACAACGCGAGTGATGTCTTACCTCTTCTATGTCATCCTCTAATTGCAGCTTGGTGTCGAGTAAACTCTCGTCCTGAAGGGCAGCAAGTTTGTCCTCTCGTTCAGCCCTGAGAAAAAAGTATTCAACGTTTTTCCAGTCAATGAGAAATTAGGCTTTAGAAACAAACAGACATCTATTGATATTGATCTGAATTGGCATGAACGCAAGCAGTGCGTTCACACATACAGCAGTGGTAAAGTGAATATGGTCTTAATGAAACTGATAATTGACCAACCGATTCGAGGTGTTTCATGAAAACAAGTCACTGCGAGCAGATCCTCTCCTATACGGCTGGAGTTAATGCTGGCATTAAATTTATTGACCGCTGTGGATCGTATTACATTTGGTGTCGACTTAAATCTAATGTTTTGTTACAATGAATCAACTGACCTGAATCTCGCATAATTTATGAGTCCGCTTAAATTCCGTATGGTGCGTCTACTGTCCGGTTTGATGAGATCACGGAAGGTGAAATCCGTTACACCAGCAGCAAACATGAGCTGCCTAATGATCCGCCATGAGGCAATAGAACAAACTGATTCCTCATGCAATTCTGAATACTCCAGCTTGCACAGAACGTTGAAGGCGGGTTGCTGAAGTTCTTCTCTGCAGAAATTTGAAAAAAAAAGCGTGAGAAGGTATAGTTCTTCAGTTTATTTGAATTGTGTGACATTGAGACAAACCTGCCGATAGGACTAGATTCCAGACTGATATTTGGCAGAATTTTGACTGTTGGCAATGTAGTTGCTACACAACAACACAGACCATACCTGGAGATCCCGAGAAGATTCTGAGCCACCGTTTCGTACAATGGCCACATGATTTCTGAAGTCGGGTTGAGGAGATTCTTTTCCTCCAAATTTACCCCCAGCTCTTTCATCAGCATAACAATTTGCTTCGTTTCAAGATCGGGAAACGTAAGAGACGGCATTTTGTCGGTTTAGTACACGCCTTGAACGGCCTACTTCAAATCCTTTGGCTGTTCCGTGGCGAAAACCAACACCGTCCCAAAAATTCGACTGAATTAACTAGCTAACTTTTCACCAACTTCTGATTTGCGCTGTCCACATAGATGGTCATACATAGATTGTTCAACACAGTCACTACAGCACACCTGCAGCGAAGAGATTGCGACTTAACAGAGGTACCAAAAAAGAGGCCTTCTATCCAAAAATCTTCAAGATCTTCTCCAGACGTGACCAGCCACCGAACACGATCTTCGTTTATCCCTCGGACGCTTATAAGCACCAGAGAGATGCCAAAAAGAAGCAGCAGCAGGAGAAATAAATTCCCGAAATTGAAAGCTTTCTTACTATAGCTCTGCCCGGAAGGCGAAAAGGGGACCTCCCCTCTTGCAACCGCAACAAAGCTTCAGTCCCAAATCAGCAGTCGTGCAGCATTACTGTTACAAATCCAGCAGGACCTCCGACGTAGGCAGCCACATCAATTCGAATCAGCCATTCATACTCCGATGACAAATCTCTGCCTAAATCCGACCACCTCGGAACGAAGTTTGGATCGACGAATTGGAGACAAATGTGCTCAATTTCGCGCACGGGCACTGGATCTTCCGAGCTGGAGTGAAATCAATGTTTCAGACATCTCAGACTGGAGAGGCGTTGGAGATTCAAAGGTGAGGAGCCTGTCGCCGCGTGTTTGCGATGGCTGCAAGGGCGCTTCACTTTGTACACTCTGGCGGGAAACGCAGACCCGGCAAACTTTGAACGCGCCGCAACACACCATGTACACAGCACACTGCACGGTGGTAGACATCGTACTGTGGTAGACTACAGTCACTTGACCATTACCTCCGCATCAGAGTTCACCACGCTTACGATTCAAACAAGGTGTCAAACCCTTCATAAAATCTCAATATTCCCTTATGGACGTCGTAAGATTTTTCACTGCTGTAACTTCCGTGCTTTTCTTTCCCATCATGCGATGCATTCTTATTAAACTCACAATGGTTAAAGTATTAGTAGGACGCCTTCTGTCGACATCTTGATATAGATATCTTAAGTCCTGTCCGATTCCCTCCAACTCTAAGTGTGTAGATTCCTGTTGCACTTCGTTCTTAACTATCCAATCTGAAGATGTATTTGAGTACCTAAGAGAGTAAAGCACTAGTAATACAGCAAGACGGGAATAACCTTATCAAGTAGAAGTTGGATGAAACCAAGCGGGTAGTGCGTGAATAGTTTGGTTGGTTTAGTTTGGTTTCAAGTTCCCAAATTTCACGAAGCAAGTTGTCCTAATGCGCCTGTTGTATCATAACAGTAGTTTTCAAATGGTTATGAACTACTTAAGCATCCGAATTGATTGGTGCTGGCCAGCGGCGACTTCTCCATGTAAAGTAATGGATGTAATAGTCCACAACAGTTGATATAATATGATTAAGAAACTGAAACTTGATGTTTCTTAACAGCTACGAGTCAGCAAAAGTCTCTCATAAAGTTGTATAGAAGGGCAAATTTAGGTCCTAATAACTCCAAGTGTTAGAGTGATATAGAGTTGACATTTCTATATATTTCATAGCTTCGATATGTCTTCCTACTCAACAATAATCCAAATACCACATAAAAAAATGATATAAAGTGTGCGATCGGTAATTTAAGAAAACATGGAATAATCATAATCCAATCATCTGCAAGGCATACTAAAGTCACCCTTTCATGTTTTCAGTGGATTCTGTTGAAAATTAAAAAAAACTTCACCACATTGTAATACTATATGGCAAGAAATTATCATCAATGTTAAATATTTCATTTCATTGTGACACAGTCGAAAAAACGCTAAAATTTGAATATTTTTACTTGATGGGAATCTTTTTTATATAATTATATCATTTCGGTCCGTTTTCTCATAAATATTGTCATCTAAATGCCTTTGTTGCAGTTTTAATATGTTGGTAGTGCTATCACCATCTTCATGTAACACTTTCATGCTTTGATAAGGTGAAATTTAGTTCAATCATGTTTGTAAAAATTAAGCTTATGAAATATTGAAATAAGAATTCTAATTTTCCATTCATGTTGATTAAACATAGAATAATAATTTTGTAAAAATCTTATTATACAAAAAAATAACCTTATTGCTCACTTTTACATTGTGATTATCACATGCTTCAAAATTATAATCTTGCTGGTTCTTAATAATAATAATAATAATAATGTTATATAATCAGATCAATAAAATTATTTAACTATCAATTTATATTCACATAAATATTTACTTTTGAGTGTTCTCAGTTTTTTATTATGTTTCATTGTTCTATGTGATAAAATTATGATATGTTATTTGATAAATTTCAATAAGAATAAAAAATAAACATTATAGTAGGTATATGCAAAAAGGTTACGAGATATTTCATGAGAGTTGGTACAACAGTGTGATTAAAGAACACAAAAAATGTGTGTGTTATTTTCATGGTATATAATTATGAATTAAATTTTAAAATTTTAAATAATTTTGTACTTTATATTATTGACAAGAATTTCTTTCTATTCTATATATAAGATAAATAGTACTTCAGTTTGTTAATAAATTATGTGAAGTCTCAGTAAACTTAACTATGTAGGATGGACTCTTTTGGCAGGTTATGTCAAAGGTTAATAATTCTTGCATCTTTCTTGGAGTTTCATGATGACATGTTCTTTATTGTAATTTTTTTTGAAAATTTTCATTTCAAAAAAAAGCCAAAATTCTTTACATATGAATATTTTCTACAGAAAAATTTTAGCTAAATAATATTATATGTAAATTCATTATATAATAAAATTAAATACATTTTTAATTTTGAAAACAATTTTTGAAAGCCAAGTTGAAAAAATGTTGAGAATTTAATGTTGTTGTTTTCAACAAATCATATGTGCATACTAAAAATACACTGTGAAGGAATCATCAACCTAACTAAAATTAGTGCATTCAAATGATTCATCAAAATGTTGCATATGATCTGCAAAAGTCTAGATTCTCTTCAAATATTGTAACATCAATAACTTATATTATTATAAAATTAAGTTTTACTGGATCATTAAAAAATATATTCTCACTATCAATCTTTTCTCATCCCAAATTTTGATTATTGAATAGAGTCTGAACCAACACTGAGACTATGAATATAAGATTTCTAAGCAGTGTTAGATCAGACTCTATTCAATAATCAAGATTTGCAAAATAATCAACATTGCTAGATACTAAATTTCTAGTTTAGCAATTTATTATGGCGTGATTGAATTTTGCATATGAAAAATTTCCGTATGTTGTTAAAATATATTGTTGTTATGAGACTTGTGATTTTTTAAAAGACTTATTGGGCTTTTCATAATTCTTTTCTCAAATTTTTGTTTGTAAGAAACTTCCATGCATTCAACTTTCGATTTATCAGTCTAATAGACTAGATTAATATTTATATGTTTCATTAATTTGTACAGTGTTGTCAACACTAAAGGTAAATTCCTTTATATGCTATTTTTAAATTTTTTTCTATTAATGTGACTTTTGGTTTAATGATCTTGAATACATCAGAATATTCTCTATTAAATTATTCTGATTCTTTGAAATTTTATTTGAACTATTTTATTTTAGTTTTTTAATGCTAGATTCTGCATTTTCTCTTCATCGTATCATGTGTATCATATTCAAATAATGTGATATTGACAAAATATATATTTTTTGGTCAAAGATTGTTGTTAGAAGTTGCGGAGAATAGTGGCTGATTTGAAATATGTCTGGGTGCTCTAACCTGCATGCCTCTCATGTGAGACATGGCGATGTTTGCTGGATTGCGACGAGGAGAAGTAAGCAAGAAAGAGAGGGAAGAAGCACAAAGATAACAGTTGATTCTTTCCTGAGGTGTTGAAACTGGGATTGTTGTAGCCATTAATACTCTTGACTTTTTCCTAACTTGAGCAAATTCCTCGACTCCACATCGTCAACCGTCAACATACACTCTCAATTTCTCTCGATGGAATACTTATATTACATTCCAGATTCTTCGTTCTAATTTTCATGTGCTGCACTCTATTTTAATCTCCTTCGATGGAAAAATAATATAATTTTTCCGCTTCTTTGTTAAATATTTTCACTTGCAGCATTTAATCTTGAGCTCTCTCGATGAAGAATAATATTATGTTTCGGCTTCTTAACTAAACTTTCACTTGCTGCATATCATTTTAAATTGAGCACTATGGAAGTTGATCTCAGTTGTAACTGCGCAACATGCTTGCTTGTGATACATGAAAGTTGACGTTGTCACTGCCTCTATGTGCCGACTTTGGCAAAAACGACTTTGTAGTTGTAGTAGGTATAACAAGAAATCGGACGGTAGTCATGTTGTGGCAATAGTTTCACTTCAGACACGATGAAAAGGTAAGTTATTCTTGACTCGTTGAGGACAAGGTGACTTTCTATTGCAAGCTTATGCAAGATTGTATAAGACTTCAAAGCAAGGATCAATATTTATTCTCTAGTCTCGTTTAAGGGATTAAAAATGGGTCAAATGGATATTGATTTCCATGAATTTAGTTTTGAGAATTAGGAAAGTGATTGGGGATAACACACCAATTGTCAAATCTACACTGTTGGCGCAGGCAAAAACGGTCAAAACAACAACCCGATACCGACTAATTAAAATATTTTTAATTAGTCGTTTCTTGTGCCTGATAATCCAATCAATGAAAATATGGTTCTTGTATCAAAATCTTTCATCTTGTTTTGATGCTCAAAAACATTCTGTAGCAAAACTTGATTGGATTGCACATAAGGTATCAAAATGAAACTCGAGGCATCCTCCGACTTTGTCATCTTAACTTTATAACAACGGCAGAAAAGATGACTTTTTCTCTATTTGCATGTAATATATATATCTCTATCTAAGACTTGAGCTACTCCTTAAAAACTTACAATTTAAGATACACGGCAGTGGTTAACCCAAAAGTAATCCTCTTTACAGTGGTTAACCCAAAAGTAATCCTCTTTACAGTTAACTTTTCCACCATTTCATAGCTTATTTGCAGTAGCATCAACTTGATGATGTTAAAAAAGCAATGTTATTCTTATTTCAAAAGTCAAATGATGCTCAACGTTAAAAAAAAAAAGGTTGGTTAAGCTAAAATTTTAAGTAGTTAGATATCTAAAGAGTGAAAATAATTCTATTTAAAAAAGAATCAATTTTCAGAAATCCATAAAATCAGAATATGAATATCACTAGCTTTGCTAGAAAAAAAATATGGATATCAAAATATTCAAGTCATTTGAATTAAAATATAATTTTCGCCACTTCTGTCACCCACAACTTGATAGAGCTATGAGATAATTGTTCTGAACATTCTATCGGTCTTGTCTCAAATTTTTTCTCACTACCTTAATTTCATATGAGATTGCATATTCTAGTTTGAAAGTGCTGCAATGTTTCTTCAAATTTCACAAAGAATTGCATGCAATGTTGTGAGTCAATGTACAAAAAATCGCTTCAAATTTCACATTCCGTTGAAATGATTGAAAGGTAGAAATTCAGTTATCTCACTATGTATTGCACAAATATTTTTATGAAACAGCTTTCAACAAAATCATTATGCAACAGCAATATTATCATATATATATTTCTGGTATAAATTGTGGTAATATATATAATTAGTATGAAAAAAAGAAATAAACTTAACATAAAATATTATCCATATATAGAATGAAAAGGATTTTAACAAAAATTATCTTATAAGTACAGTTTAGTTGTTGAACTTGATGAACTCCAAAAGAGAAAAAGAGTATTCTGTATTTACTAATCAATATCATAATATGTGTCACGAAGAGCATGAACAACTATATTATATAATGAAGGTTCATTAGTCTAACTTTGCTTAGTTACTTTAATTAGATTTAGCTCAGATATTAGTTAAGTCCTGACAATACTTGTCAAATAAAAATGAAAAGTGACAAACATAAAAAAACTTGTAATAAAATCTAAAATAAAATTTCCTAGATATATAAATTGAGTCATGATGTGAGCTTAAAAAAATATAATTTTAGAAAAAATGGATATGAGATTTATTTTATGTATGAAATATTCAATGATATGATTGAATGCATAGGGTATTTGATTATTTATATCAAAAGTATTTTCATGGAGATAAAAATTGCATTATAACATAAAAATTGATTCACCAAACGTCAGAAAACATAGACTGTCATGTTTAAGTACAATAGCATTGGAGTTTACTAAAATCTCATATGCCAACAAGGTTGACTGCTAAATCGATTTTGAGTCCTTTGTCTAATATGCATATGAATAGATCATTTACTAAAATTGACATAACATAAGTCGGAAAAAATTGAAAATTAATAAAAATCAATTTGAAATTTGTGCATTTATGTCATCATTGATATTTTTATTCTTTTCTTTGTAGACATGAACAATTCACCATGTTGGAAAAAATAATTTTTTTCAATGCTCTTCTTACCATGATTGCTGAAAAATATGACATGTTTTGGTGAGGATAATTAGCTTACGATACTATGAACTTCTCTTTTACAGTCATAAGGTCCATACTCCTACAATAAAAATATATGTTATAAAACATTCTTCATGTTTCATATGTCTCATCCCTCTATGAGTATTTTGATTTTTGCAAATAAATATGATAGACGTGATATCTGCATCACTTCTCGATTCTTTTGATCTTCTTTAATCTGCATCACTTCTCAATTCTTTCGATCTTCTTTACATGTGGGTTGTGCTTACAACCTTTTCTTCAAAGGGCTGAATAGTATCTTATTTGTCATTCTTTTCCCAAGTGGAGGCAAGCCACATTGCACTTCTAGTCTTTCATTTTGTAAGTAAGGTAGTTCCTCCAAGTTTAAAAATATGCTTAAAGAATTCCCGTATTATATAAGCTCTTGACAGAATTTCTATATTAATAGTCACTACTCACAGATATAATTTAAAGGATGAAGATACTCCATTTCTTTTCGTAAGAACAATTAAAGAATAAGCTAAATCATTCTTGACGTCCAGAAGTCTCTTAGCTTGATCTCAGTAAATTTGTATGTACAAATAGACTCATATGAGCATTTAACCGTAAGGGAATGCGTTTCATGAGCCAAGCTTGCAAAGAATATTATTCTCAAGGTTAAGAATGACAGCGTGATCACTTCGCCAATACTTTTTCTCAATATTGTGATAGTTGGATCTGTATCTTAAGCGCAATGGTACCAGTTTACCATCGTGATGCTATTGCAATCTAGCCCATCCGTGTGCGTCTTGATGGATCTTGCAAACCATAATGCTATCTTTTCTTCATCAACGTAAAAGAAGACGCACTCCCAGAATATGTACCAGTGGCAAACATGTCGCGACACGACTATCATTCGGTGATATATTTGGTCATCACCTCGTCGTACGCACAAAGTATGAATGTACTGCGCCAGCCTAAAAATGAAAAATGGCTTCCTTGTACGACGGGAGACCGGACCTCAGAATCGAGTCCTGTATTGGAAAGCAGGCGTCGTCTATGTGAAGAAGATTCCCAACCGCGTCTTGCCTCGACAGTGGAGAGTCCGTGCACAGGTGATTTTGTTGGTCTGTACGGTGGATGCATCATTCTGATCGGTCGAAGTTGACCAATCACGGGGCCGATGGTCCTCATGGAAGAGGAGTCGCCTCGGAAAGCAGTACGATTGTTTCCGAGACCACCTTCCCATCGGAAACAGATGGCAGCTTTGTGCATGATCATGCACGTGAGACCAGCGTTGGAGCGGAATCTCGGTTGCGGTCATTATCAGGCTTGCACCAACATTCATCCGATGCCATGCTTCGGTGATGGGTACCGTAGTGGTGTCAGTGATCAGTGTTTGTGTGCATGTAATTTGCCCCAAACAAGCGCTTCTCTGTGATCAACCAATCGGAAGCCAGGCAGATCCTGCCATGCAACCTGTTCTGTGAGGCTCCGAGGTTGTGAATGAGGATGTTCGTCACGCAGAAAACTGGGCAGAGGTCATTGGCTCTACTCTCAGTCAGCTGCTAGATTTCCTGGCATAGTTAGTCACTACATAGCACGCTTTGTATTGGCCAGACTTGTAGTTTGATATGAAAGATTGTCTTTGAAATGCAATCTCAACCGTTTTCGTAGAGTGCTCTTCGTAGGATGGAAAATCTGTGTCAGAAAGGAAAACATCGTTGTCTACAATGACAACATCGTTGTCCATGGTAGACAACGGATCGCAACAAGGTACGGGTTTCGCTTTCCTCTACCCCTTGAGCTGTCGGAAGGTTTTTTCCCTGCGCCGCGAACGAACATGACCTCCTGTGAACGAATATAGATCGAACATCTGGTGGGTGATGGAGGCATTCCAGGCGAAGAAGGGGTAGTAACGTACATAATCTTCAAGCGTCCTCGTCGGTAAAGTAGTGTCTCGTTTCGACCTGTCTGACGGATATTCGTTTGCACTCGTGAGAGAAAAATCTACATCTGTGGGACCGATTCTCAAGGAAAACTTGATAACGGATGTCATAGGACAGGTGACAAAGGTTCCGTGTTTCACATGATGTCTACAAAAATATTTCAAGACCGAAACTTCGTCAATCGGAAATTCTTAGCTGAGATCATCTTTACTTATCATGCTTGATTTTTTATAAGGTTGATCTTTCACGACAAATGTGCACGGGCGCACGAGAAGTCAGCAGGAGTTCATATGGAATCAACTAGAAGGTACTATTCACAATGAATCTCTAGCGGTACTCCACATCAAAAGTCCACATGAAACTCTCTGACATGATAGACTGGGAGCGCATGAGAGGGAAGACTATGTCTCTACTTGCATGTGACAAGCGAGTTTCACTTGTACAAGTATCTAGCGAAGGTTCCACAGAGAATCCATTCGAATGAGAGATATCATCGATCTAAATTTAGAAAAGCGCTTGCTCACATCAGCCATTATCTTATAAATGCAGACTACTGTGATGGTAAACGCGTTATGTGCATATCTGAAGAAAGAGATCAAATTTCATCCTGTGATGTAGTATTTACTTGATGCAACGAATTCAAATTTAGTTTCAAATACAACGATTATGTTGCTTAAACTTTTCGTTTTGATACATTTCTCGTCATCGACAGGGAAGTAAATATGAAAATGACTCATCAGATTATCACAATTTGATTCAGATTTCATCTGATATTTCCGATCACAATTTGATTCAGATTTCATCTGATATCTCCGAACGAAGAACACGTGCTCGTACTTCATATCAGTACAACTTTTACATCAACCTCTTGCTGGAGGGAAAAGAAGAGAACTATCACACTTCCGTGGTAATTATCCATGCGAGCTACCCAGACTATAAATATCCAGAGTACGTTCTGCAACACAAGAATGCTCTAGATAAGATCTATCTCGTATATAAGCATTGGATCTTCACGTTTGCAATTGAATTCCACAATGGCTGCCCTGCAGATGAGAAGATGCATATCTTTTTCGGTTGTGGTCGTCTTCATAGTCCTGACTCATACCTTAGCACAAGTTGAAGGGCAATGTATACTGAGTCCAGAGCTATGTAGTATGGACGATGATGATTTCGACGTTATATTCGACACATGCAAAGAGTTTAGTCAAGGAAATGCGATACCCACTCCAGATGATCTCTGCTGCCAGCAACTTAACTCTCTTAGTGGCGACTGTCTGTGTAAAGGATTTCAGGTTCATCTCTCCATCCTGCCACCAGATTATAATCTGACTGCACCTCTCCAGCTGCCTCGCAATTGTGGATTCCCTCTTGATCCACCTGGCTGCAGTTGTGGAAGTAAGTACATGCATAAATATTGAACTTGATTCAAATCTTGACCTCGGTACATTCTGTTGCCATCTTTAGCAATGCATGTGTAAATTGGAAGTTAGTACTATATAGCAAATCAATTATAGGTTTCCTAGACTCAAGATTATGATATTTGGACGACTGATATCACTCTGGCATTTCCACTGCAGGTTATACATTTCCGTCTTAGCTTTCCTCACCAAATGAAAATCAGACTGGGTTATAGGCAGATGGCGTTCTTTGTTTTGGCCATGCCGATGGTCGTCAGACTGTTCTAAATTCCATAATATGTGCGATTGTACCAGGGACTATCAGATAGTGATTGTGCAGGTTTTAAGTAGGTAATAAATCTCTGGCAAGACCTTCCTAAACCATCGAATATATGTAATAAAGAGACTCTGAGGAATGAAACTACACAGAAGCTGGCAGAGTTGTATACATTCTGTTCACTTGAATTGTTAAAAAGGAATGATGTAACATTCCAGTTGTTTCAAACCGGGGAGCTGTGCAACAGTGTTATATTTCTGGAACACAGTGGTATCATAGCTCAAAGATATCCACTGCAGGCTTTGTGCAGTTAATGACTGAGCAGTAATATGAACGGAGATTATATTTCATAACTCCTTTATGTGCTCTGTTATCTTATGAAGTACATATCTTCCTCGTTGATCAGTTCCTCTTGATCGTTGATGACTTTCAGGTGCAGTTTAAGTTTTCCTGACTTCACACCCTCGAATGATCAGGCATCATATGACCTGTACCTGCTATGGCTGCGTGCATTTTCATAAGTTTTCATACAAAAAGTGAATGATATGTTCTGTATTGGATTTTCGATGTATTGACAATGTGATGGGAGTGGCCAGAGTTCTGGAACATGACGAGAAATCTACTTCCATCAGTATTCGCCATCAGAGCAATATGTTCTGAAGCCAGTGTGGAAGTGGAAGTGCAAGTGCAAGCTATATTCTCAGATTCAAATGGGAGTTTGAACCTGAATATAGCTTACATAACACTCAACAGATGTCTAGATAGCCTTTGGATCAGTCCCTTCAAAATTTTCGACATTCTTTAGTAGTTTGACTCATGCTAGCGATCAAAAACTTGGTATACATGTAACAAGCAATGAAAAGTGCTCTAACTATGAGCCAAGACTCATGATGAGAGGGAGAGAAAAGAAAGTGGAACGGAGTCTCATGGTAAACGAAGAGAAGACGGGCAGGTCCTAGAAACAACTCTGCAAAGAAACTTTATGCAGAAATTACGACCTATCGGCTCATATCTCCAGATAGATGGCCCCGGTCGTCGGATGACAAACTGCTGGAACTCGTCCATGCGTGTGATCTATGCACGATCTCGTACTAGCGACTAATCTCTTCCAGTTCGCTTGGAAGCACAGTTGCCTGGCCGTATCAGTCTCAGACTCGGGACACCGTTTTTCAGACTCAAACGAACGTGATCACTTAGTCAACAAATCGACATTACCAAGAGATGCATCGAATTATGACTTAAAATGGAGAAGAACGAGACCATCATCTATAAATACACATGGTCAAACGAAGGTCAAACGAGTCCAAAATTGAAGGTCACACGAGTCCCAAATGACTCTAGCCATCAACGTTGGAAATACATGAAGATAGTACACTTTAAAGTGTATCATGTTTCAGAAGTTGTTACTAGTAACAAGCCGAGCAAAGAAACTTTTGCTGCCGTAACGAAGATGAAGTGAACACGTGCTTAGCGGCGTAATATAGTAATGTATGGGTGCCGTCAGGGGCGGAGCTACATAGGGGCACGCCCCCCCTCCCCAAGCCCAGGAAAGGTCTACAGATTGTGAGTTTCAGATTGTGAAAGCGAAGTCGAGAAAAAGTGTTTTCGCCTGCGGCCTTACAGAAATACATGGCGGGGAGCCCCCCGCCCCCACCAGAAAACTCCTGGCTCCGCCCCTGGGAGCCGTCCTTGCTTGCATGGAATGCCAATATGGCCTAGGATTGGCTGGAAGAAATTATCGTACCAGTCTACATAGTTACCCCCATGAACCCATAATATAGCATGATGGGCGGCTCCAGATGAAAGTGCAATAAGGGTATATTGTATTCCATAGGGAACTGCTTACGGATCTTAAAAAAATATACGTTCAGGGGCCTAATTGTTTTCGCAAATTTGTGACCATTGCAATTTCATCAATAGACCCTGTGCTTTAACGCATGAAGAGTTTCAAGTGACTTGTGCGATTAATGCACACAATAATTTGAACAAGTTATGATGATAAGGTGGTATATGCACGAGGTTTCTTAATGCCATAAGAAGTCAGATTGATACTACCCTCTTAATAGCGCCAAGACGAACACCTCCTTCAAGTTATGATAGTAACGAGGTATATGTACGAGGTTTCTTACTGCCACAAGAAGTCAGCTTTATACCACCTTCTTAATTGCGCCAAGAAGAAAACCTCCTACAAAATAAAATAAAATGAAATAAAATAAACCTGCTATGATATTAGCATCGCCCAAGAACCCAGGAGAAAGAGGGTAGTCTCAGATTAATTTCTCAGTTAAGAAACCCCAGTTAACATTCAAAGACAACGTAAGTTTTAATTGAAGCAGAAACATATAGTTTCAAGGACTGCCAAGAAAATCAGACTCAAGTGAGACCTGTTGGCAAACACTATTCCACAAGGTTTCCCCACAACTCTCCCATCGAGAATGGGGTATGAAGTGAAGAAAAACACTTTTTTGAAGAGTTTTGAAGTAGAAAGCAGAACCAATTCTTACTGAGGAATATGAGTTTTCAAGTCTTCATTCCTCATGAACTCTTGAACAAGAACCTGACGTAATCTAATACATAATCTAGTGTGAGCTGTATTTCTAGTTCTAGAAGGAACTTGATCTCGACTATGCATCAGGTCAGAATGTTGCATAAACAAAAGAGCTACTTAGAGAGAAAATTGAGAGGAGCTCCGAACCAGTATAAGCTCATACATGGGCATCCCAGCAGTGTAAGGGTATAGTTTGTACCATTGTCATAGAACTGAAGAGTGAGAAATAGAGAGAAGGAGATGAACGAAATACTTCGAAGCTTACTTTGTGGCAGAATCCCTTCAGTCGAACAAGGTGGCGATAGTGGAGTCTACTGAGAAGAATTACGTCGTTTCTAGATTCCTTATAACCTTGCAAAACTAACACCGGGTCTAGAGGCACTCTTGACTGCCCCATCATCCAAAGTTTCCAATCACACTCTACCAAATAGCTCCTGAGCCGACAACGTGACTGTCATCAAAGCATGCGGCGATCCAAGCATATCCGTCGACACTTAATGTCTGGCCGCCGGCCGGTTTCTCGCAAAAAGCAGAAGTTAGTACAACATGAGGGTGTTCGTCACTCGATCTGAACTTAGAGCTCACCATAGCCTTTGAGAAGACAGCCATGAAGATTGCACTGACTACGGTTGTTGCGAAATCATCCAGAAGGATGTTAAATTCGTGTCATGAAAAGAACATGAGAGTATGAGAAATTCCAGTCTTTAGCTGTGAAAATGCGAAATGCGAAATGAGCACAAATATACTTGGGTAAGGTTTTGTGTCTACAGTCATGCTATTCGACTGCAATACTCCAGAATCTCGAATGGATAGCTTGTAAGGAAACTATGCAATACGTAGGGTGTGATATTCATGTTGATACAAAGCATGGACGTGTACTGAAATTCAGCACGTGGACGTCAAGGCATCAGTGGTCAAAGTTATCCACGAGGTCTTTTGAAGAAAAAGAAAAGAAGAGAAAGGCTCTCTCGAATAAAAGAACTGAATATTTGTGACCACGTTGCAGTGTTGGAGATTCAGCATGATTAATTATTAATGCTGATAGAATTTCAAAGTGGGCAATTATGAATCACAAAATGTCAACCCAGGGATAAATTAAACTCCACCTCTTTCAAGATCAGATGAAGCAGGTCGTTTACGCCAGGTCTTGTGATCCTACCTGAACAATTGACGGAGGTTTTGTTCAACTGGTCACATGATCGATAATTCATCATCCACTGAACTTAAAAAATTTATCGAAGGACTTCCTTTTCAGATCTGTGCTGGTTCTCTGAACATGTTTACATAGCATATGGCAGTCATACTTAGTTATAAACACGGGCACATCCTGTATGGATCAAATATGTTCTCGGTATACAACCGATAATCCATTCCGCGTGCTATGCCTTGAATCTGTATGCCTTGAATCTGTCTGCCTTGAATCTGGAGGGTGATTACATATTGTAATATATTCATTCGCTTGAAGAAGTTGTACATGAACTGATGGTGCATAGCAGTGCAATGTAACAACAATCCACAACAATCCTTTCTATTACCTTTCCAAGGACGCGAATCTGTTCCGTTGTTGGAGAAGGATTCCATCGCTAGTTCATACCTTTAGAAATATTTTGGCTTGACAAAGTCCATAAGAGTGGACAGGAACCTTCTGGAAATTTTGACATCTGCTGATTTTCTTCACTAGGTCTTTTAGGTTCGATAAGGTCGTATTTTAGCGTGGAGATCAAAGTCATCCATATACTGATTTAAGGAATCTCCGATATTCAAAGGAATGTCCGATATTCAATGCCGACATTCAATATCTACATCATCAATGTAGATATTGATTTATGATTGTAGATCAATTTTATTATAGAGTAGATCGAATACTCCAATCGGTATTGATATTTGTTATACTTTTCCATAAATTCCATCAATTTAACCGTGCAATTGAAGTGGTAATTAATATGTCACACAAAGACTGACAAGTTGTAGCAAACGTTAGTTCCCAAGAGACTCTAAAGAAAAATTTGTTCGCAGACGGTGGAAATGTGAGCTAGATATCTTCAACTGCTATCGATAGTCGAACGGTGACATGTCCTTAGACAGCCACCGTTCTAAGAACTCGTAGCTCAACAAATGTGCCGATTCCAATCTAAGAATTGAGAACTTACATACAAAATGTCCAGGATACACCCTTGATTCAATCTTTGAAGAAAATTGTTTTCACATCTTTTACCAGATGATCAATCTTCTTGACTACAAGATGAGATTCAAGTCGTAACAAGGAGAAGTTCTCCTTCTACATTGCTCTCATTTAGTACATGCTCCTGGACACTAACTTGTATAGCTTCGTGGGCAGCAGTCGAGTCTAGGAAGCGAAAATTCATAATGGAGTAGCTTTTCAAGCTCTTGTCCTATCTAACTACAATTGGAAATCGACAGGCTACGTATTCAATTAGCGTGTTAGACTAGTGTCGGGATTGAAACATAGCCATGTTTTGGGTCCAATCAGCTGATGGTTTGCTTTGTTAACACCAAAATTGCATGTGATCTTCAAACACACATATACGGACGGCATATATAACGTGTAGTAACAGCCGATTTTAGCCAGAAAACAATCGACTTGGATGACATTCAATCCCCCAAGTCACAATATCAAGTAAGCAAAGATGAAATTTGCGCAATTTCTTCGGTTGATTTCTTGACAGCGCATATTTCCTACATGGTAGCATTTCTGAATCAGAAACTATCATCTTACTGATACATTAATGTCCAAGTCCATCAAGGTCAAAAGATGTAGCTCATCAACCCCATGTTCTCTCGTATGCATCATTGAACTGTTGACATTCACCATCCACT